CCAACTGTGATCTACTGGTGTCTCCTAGAGACACATAATTTGCTTAGAATAAATGAATGTCTGGTTTTCGTAACAGGGATTCAGTCTCTTCTAATGTTAGAAAGTTTCAGTCTTCAAGCATCTATCTTAAACTAACAAATAAACCTAAAAATGTTTTGGTGAATTATACATCTGAAAAGGCTACAGTGGGTAAAGAGAACCAGAAATCTTAGTTGGAATCCTTGGAATTCTATACAATTTATTAGCTATGAGACCTGAAATGAATCACTTTATCCCTCCGAGCCTCAGTTTATCTCATCTGTAAAATGTGGCTGCTAAAAAGAATACAAAACCAGAGAGTAAGGACTTGGGCTGCTGGTTGCTTGATCAAAATGAAAATTTTTAAAAAATGCCCTGTGAAAAAAATATAGCTTGTGCTTTTCTAGAGAATCTCTCTCTCTTAATTTGAATTTGAAAATCTATTATTAATATATCTTTTTAGCCCTCTACATTTACCATTCTCATAGGGCGTAGTAACAAGGGCTTTTGGCAGAACCCCTCTGATATCACAGGTTAGAATCTAAGTCTCAGAAGCACCGAGGCAGTAGATAAAGGTACGTGGTTCTGAAGGTCATCTCACAGGTCACTTGGGCCCAGTAAGGGGGAAATGGGAGAAGCTCCTTGACCTCAATTTCCCTACGCTGAGCCGTCTGTAAACAAGTGGCTTGAGGAAAGGGTAAGGTCTTCTCCATGCCAGAGGTTCTGTTGTTTCTTCCTACCAGAGAGAGCTATTTTTGCTGTTTGCAAAGGCAGCTGCTTCTGGCAGGAGGCAGGTAGGTCGGGGCCTGCCTTTGGCTGAGTAAGGCCTAAGTATTGCTGACATTCTCCCGGAGGGTAGCGTCTGGGGCAGAAACATGTCTGGGAGTGTTTACTTCTCAGAGGTAATTCAAGACCATGTCCTGGCAGGCAGACCTCGTCTCTCATGGGGTGGGGGCTGCAGTGGGCTGGGAAACTGAACTCGGTGGGGAGGGTGGGCTAATCCAGCCTTAGAAAGAAGCAAGGACGCCATGGGGAAGATTCTGAGGTTGTGGGTGATGTTTTTGTCAAGGTAACAACCTCAGTTCTGAGTTTTCCGCTGAGAGGAAATGAAAGCTTCACAAGCATTGCTATCTGATGAGAAATGTGTCTCCAAGAATAACATGCCCAAACTCACAATTTTCTGGAGTGCGTTGTGTTTGAACCTTGGGTGTAGTCTTTCTGTGGAGGGGCCTGTGTAAGACCTGAAGGGGCTAGAGGACCCATTTTGAAAGGCCCGTTCCTTTCAGTTTAAGTGCTGCTACCTTTAGCAGACATTGCTGCTTCTGGAATATCTTGTTAAATATGTGTTTGTTTTGCGGAGACATCAGTGTTTTCTTTTTGCAGGAAGGTAGCTTTGCCCTCTGAGCCCTCCCTTCCTTCAAGGGAGGTTTGTATTGTGGGCACAGGAAGCAAAAAATACTATAGACAGTGGCTCTTTCTGGTTTTTATGTCCCCAAGGGCTGAGCTCCTTGAGAGGATTATACTAGGGAGATGGGGAGAAGTGGGTGTCTTCTGAGAAGGGTGACTCCCCCAAACTAGAACGAATGAAAATCTGCTTAGAGAAGGGCAGGATGTGTTCCCTGCTATTGAAGAGACTTGGGAAGGAGACAAAACTTAAGAAAGCTGTGCCTAAGGTGATCGGAATCTGGCAGGGGGCTCCTGCCCTAGCTAAGATTTCTCTACCCATGCATAGCAGAGGAAATGATGGAGACACCAAATTCAGAGAGCAATGCAACATGGACAATGAGTGTATCTTAGCATCAGGATGGACTGAAGGCCAGTGACTTTTCCCTCTATTTCCAGGAACCACATCAGGTCCCTAGATCATAGTTGGAGCCTGAGGAGAAAACTCCTCCCCAGTAATTGCTGTAATGACTGAGGTTGAGTTTTTCTATAATCTCAAAAGGGAAGAAGCTTGTGGAGCAGGAAAAAGTTTTCCTCTACCCTCTTAGGTTTAGTGCTTGGGGGCCTCCAAATTAAATTGAGAAAAGACAGATCTGCAAGAGACAAGACAGATTTTTATGCATGAAATATACGAAGAAGTTTGTAGAAAAATGTCACTTAAAGAGATGGTTAGAATTGAGGGCTTACGTGCCATCTTAATGGGGGAAAAGGAGGGGGGGAAGGGCATTTTTGGGAAAACAAATGACTTTTAGGAAAGGTAAACCAGCCCTTAGGAGAATAGATGGGAGAGAGACAGTTTCGTGGCAATGTCTGTTTAAAGAATTTCTTATCTTGGTACCAACTTCTCCTCCCTGGCAAAAGGAGTCAATCTTTCCTGGTTATGAAACTCTGAGGGAGGGGATTTATGATAGTTGGATTCTTTGGGGAGGATCAGCTTTTAGGCAGATAAGGAGAGCTCAGGAAAAGACCTCTTCACAATGGTATGTGCTGTAGCCCTTCAGGCTCCAATTTGGATTTGATTTGAAGTAAGTAAAAAATGGGATACTTCTTCACATCCAAGTTTATGGAGTAAGAGGCTCATATAGGCCACAAATGCAAATGACCCTGGGAGCTAAAATACATAAAACATATTTACTTATTACCAACTATTAACTATTAAGTACAGATTTCTTCATCAGAACGGAATCACATTAGAAAGTGTTCCCTAAAAATGGGACAGATGAGAGAAAAATTTTGAAAGGGTTGAAAGAGAGAGCAATAGACAAAGGCTCACCAGTTGCAGTTGTTAAAAGCCCTGGGCTATTTTTATGAGACTCTGGCATATGAGCCTTTCTGTCTACCCACAGCCCAACTTTCTCCACAAGTTCCTTTCTCCTTCAAAACTAAACAACCATTAGCATCAGGAGAAAAAAACATACTGATCAGTGCTTAGAAATTCCCATGTGTATACTTGTCCTCTCTCTCAATCTTCAGAGGACAGTTTGCATAAAACTATTCTTTTAAAATAGGTCTTCCATAACTGGGTGATACCTTAACGTAAATTGTTATTATTATTATTGCAGTTTTACTTTCTCTTTTTAAAAGAATGTTTTGTCTCTGGTATGCCTTTACCAGAATGTGGGTATCCTAGATATTTCATGGTCCTTAAATGTAGTCTCTTTTCATCACCTTGCTAACCTCAGCACCTCTGCATCTCTCTCAACCACTAGAATATTACTGAGAATATTGCTGAGCAATATATTATTTACTGAAACTCTGGCAAGGATGACAGAGGATAAAGTTTTCCTTATACACTCCACAGCAAACTCTTTAAAAACATTGTCAAATATCTCTGTTCCCCAAAGTTCTCATCTTGACTACTCAGCAAACGGGATGTTCTCCTTTTTGCTTTTTCCAAGCACGGTCCTGTTTCCTCTATTTTGCTGAGCAATTTGATTCTTCTCCTAAACTTGCAATTCCTACTCAGCTAGGTGCTCAACAAAGCAAAAAAGCCTACAGTATATAGGACTCCCTCTCCCCTAGAAGGAAGTTTAGTAACTATTTATTACTACTTGAAAATGGACTTGAATATCTTACTCTGCCCTATTTTCCTCTCATTCCCACTATGTTTCCATCAAAGTGTATTTAGAAATATATACAACAGTCTCTCTTAGAAGAGTGCTGGTGGATATGATTTTCACTGTCTGATTCCATGACAATGTGGCTTATCAGGGCCATTAGCTGTTAGGGGATTTCAGGACCACCACAATGTTGGAAAGTTCAGCACTCAAGCGTCTCAGGAAAGATGCTCCTTCCCTGAGGGTTATCAGAAACTTCGGATTTTCTCGGACTCTCGAGCATCCTGAATAATAAATAGGAAGTAAAGGTGAATCTGGAATAATTCTGTTTTGGCTACCATTGCAACATAACCAATTACCCTAAAACTTAGTGGTTTAAAAGGGCCATTCCATTTTGTTCATGATTTTTGGGGGACAGGGATTTGGGAGGAGCTCAGCTGGGTGTTTCCGGCTTAGGTTCTCTCAAGAAGTTGGAGTCAGATGTCAGCAGGGCTGCTGCCCTCTGAAGACCAGACTGGGTTAGCCATTCAAGGTGACTCACTGGCAGGGCTGGCAGTTGGTATTGACTATTTGCTGGGAGTGACACCGGGGCTGTCGAATGCAGTACCTGCGTAGGGCCCTTCTGTGGGGTTTGGCTTCCTGACAGCATGGTGACCTCAGGGTGGTTGGACTTCTTACATGGCAGCTCTGGACTCCAGGCATAAACTTTCTGGTGAGCAAGGCAAAGCTACATGGCCTTTTTTTTTTTTTTTTTTTTTTTGAGACAGAGTCTCACTCTGTTGCGCGGGCTAGAGTGCTGTGGCATCAGCCTAGCTCATAGCAACCTCAAACTCCTGGGCTCAGGCAATCCTACTGCCTCAGCCTCCAGAGTAGCTGGGACTACAGGCATGCATCACCATGCCCGGCTAATTTTTTCTATATATTTTAGTTGGCCAATTAATTGTTTTTTCTTTCTATTTTTTAGTAGAGACAGGGTCTCACTTTTGCTCAGGGTGGTTTCGAACTCCTGACCTTGAGCGATCCTTCCACCTCGGCCTTCCAGAGTGCTAGGATTCCAGGCGTGAGCCACTGCGCCTGGCGTACATGGCCTTTTATGACCCAGTCTCGGAAGTCACATAGTATCACTTCTGCCATGCTCTACTAGCAGAGGCAGGCACACGCCTTGCCCAGGTACAAAGCAAGGGGAATTAGACTTCCTTCTTGATAGTGGAGTGGCAAGGTCACATAGTAAGAGCAGGAAAGATGGGTGATGTTATTGCAGTCATTGTGGAAAAAGCAGTCTCTCCCATTATGTGGAGGTAACAGCCAGAGAGAGGCTCAACCATGCTCCTTGTATGGCTACCATGTGAATGAACAAAACTGCACTGTGGAATGGGGTTATCCAAGTCCTTTCAAAAAAATCAATTCCACAACTCTCTTCCAACGTCTCTACCAAAACACTCATTATTGCATCATAGGAAATGCACCCAAGGAGATGCAGCTGGAATTCCTATGGCTGCCAGTAGAAAGATGGTATGTAGAGGCCTGAAGGTATACAATAGGTTTCCTCCTTGGGATTTACATTCACAATTTTACACATAAATAGAATAATTTTGTTTTTGTTAAAGTGGCTGATTGGATCTATTTGTATAAGGGCATCTAGTCCACTAGTTTGGCCTACTGAGAACTAAGGCAGTATTAGATCTTTGGTCTATGATACTTACATAATAGAGATGTGCTACTCTATCTGTAACATCTTTCTCCAGTCACTCTGTTACTAATCCCACAAAATATCATATGCTTAGATGAGGCTAAGAACTAACTATCAGGAGAATGGTTTAGACTTGATTCAATAAAGCTTTCTGATGGGTTTGTTTCAAACTACAAAGGGGTATAGAGCATTTTCACTAGTTTATCTACTGAAAAAACTCTTTAGGCATCATTGATTATCAAGTAGGTTCCGTGGCTAGGGTACATTAAATAGTAAAATTTTTATGTGTATGTGTTTTGAATATATGGTGCCTTTTCCTCTGGGAAAATTTTAGAATTTCCTCTTTTATTATATTCATATTTCTGAGTTACACGGGTCACCACTGTTTAGTATTAGAACATATTTTTTCCTAAATGAAAATATAATTTCAAACCACAGTGAGCAGACTGTTTATATTTCTGCATAACTGAAGAGTTCAACTTTATTTAATGGAATCTTTGGGCTCAGCATAGTGGGAAAAACAGGATACCGTATCTGGCAGAGCTATGTGGCAGTCTTGCAAAATAAACTCCCGATAAAGCTGTAATCCCTTTGTTGGCTTAACTGTGATTAGATTTGAGACTCTGGAAAAGTCCACAAAGGCCTTTCATGTAACATGGGTGATAAATTTATTATACACAGTCACAAGAGTACCAGGAGAGAGATGTTAGGCCCTTTGCTAAATGCATCACTTCAACAATCCTTTAAATTTGAGTTGGATGAACCTTGAATTCTCAGAGATTTAAAATCCTTGTCCTACTCCCACTTCTCTGAGTGTCAGATGGCAATAGGGAGGAGGTGATTTATTTTCCAGATCTATATGAATTATGAGACAGAAGATGGACTCTCACGATTTGGTTATGGGTTTAAATTCAGCTTGACTCAACGTCATGTCCAAGAAGCAAACAGCAGACCAAGAGTGAGTCATTGTTGGCCTATTGCTTCTGGCTCTTGGTAGGAGGATGGACAGACTTTAGTTAGTCCTTGTAGTTTTCACTCAAATCTATGAGATCTTCTATTGCTAAAAAGTGTGGTGTTGTGAGAATGCTAGGCAGACTTCTGTCCTCAAGCCCCAGTCTTCATTTAAAGCAGAGATCTGTAGAGCCACAGCAGGCCCCACATGGTCAAGACCATATTAACTGACATCATGTCTAATCCTGCCCTCAAGGATTCCTGTGACCTTCAGGAGGAGGGTCTGGGCCTCAGATGTGCAGTTTGAAAGCAGTGGGGCTCAGTCTTGTCTACAACTAGAAAAACTTGGGGAGAGTTTTAAAATCCTGATGCCTAGGTTCCTAATTAAATCAGAAATGCTGGAGGATGAGGTCCAGTCATCACTTGTTTTTAAAGCTTTTGAGGGATTCCAATATATAACTTAGCTTGAGAACCACTGTTCCCAATTTCTACACTTAATGATGGTTCCAACAGGGTACATCTCCTAACCTGTGGGTTGTGACACTTTGCTGGAGGAGTTTGGGAACTTAGGGAAGGATTGATATTCTTCGTTGTAGATTCAGCACAGCTGGAACCAGCTGAACTCATAAGCTCTACCAATAGCTGTCAGGTCAAAGGCATTAATAAATACTTTTTGTGAGAGACAGCTCCCTATAGCTGAGTTTTGCTATTTTCTCACTCTCCCCTTTCCTTTGTGGTATCCTACATCTGTTCATTCACCACCCCAAGCCCAGACTGCTGACGATGCTCCTATTCTTCACTAAGAAAAATAAACTCTGGGGCTATGCTGTCAATTGCCTGCCCCTCTCCTCCATAAGGCAGTCAGCAGCTGTGTTCACAAATATCTGGAAAATAGATGTGCTCCAATAATATGGAAAATTACACCATGGACCATGAAGCTTAATGGTAGTAGGGCCATTGAGGGAGAGGGATAAAGTCTGCTGTATCTCCATTTTGAAACTTGGTGAAGGGAAATGGGAAGGGGAGCAAGGCTTCTGTAGGAAGTGATATACATAGTTTTGCTGCTACTTATCTACTAACTCAAAGATAAGGAAGTTGGAAAACAAGAGTCTTTAGAATTGAAAGCTCTTCAGTGTCCTTTCAGCCTAATTCCTTGAGGCACTTAATAAGCTCATTACTGGGTAGAACATCTGTGGGGTGTGATCTTACTTGCCTTTTCATTAGGTCCTGGAGCACTTGGAACTTCCTTCATCCATTATTTTTACATCCATTTCACTGAGAAAACATCTTTCGCACTTACAGAGGGAGAATAATAAACAGTCCAACATTCAAAATGTTTATTTACCATGCAGACTGAGAATCCTATGGTAAGTAGGCTAGGCATAAGTTACAAGTGGAAATCATTGCTAAAACTCTTGCCTCTTTTCTGAAACCTGGAGAGGGTATTCTACTTTGCTTTTAACCTCCCCCAATGATGATGATAAAACCATGAAAACTGTGATCCTGTTCTTGGAAAACACACAGACAGCTGTTTTTGTATATGGTTGGGAGGTGCGTTGCTCTCATTGAATACAAAGTGGTATGTCTGTCACAGTCTGTCATGGCCCAATTATAGAATGGGGGATGACATACACAAAACATATACATAAGACGCAGACAGACAGAACTGGCTGCAGTCTCAGAAGAAAAAAGGACACAGAGACAAAAGACAGTTTCAGACTGCAGCACTGGAAAAGTGCTCATCAGTTTATTATATACAGTTTAATGGGGCAAGCATCCCACAGCTATTTTTTCATGCCAGCTACTTTCCCAGCTAACTTTTGGTACGTGACATCCCACGGCCAACAACGCCTGCTTTTCCAGTCAAAGCAAAAAGCATGGCCTTCTACAAGAGAACTCTTTGATGTTTTGCACCACTTTCGGATAACAAACAATCTCGGCTCGAGCGCGAGACCTTGAATCCTAGACCATCTTGCAAGTGCCTAGCACTGCGTGCTGGTTACCAGGCAACTTGGGCTTGCATGCAAGGCCATAGGTTCTTGGCTGTTTGCCTGGAGAAACAGTTTCTCAGCCAGTCAACAAGCCACCACGTCCTGCTAATTGTGGGAATAAGCAATGGGCTCCGTTCTGCTGACTTGGGGTCTCAGCCAATCTGCTCCTGGGATGGCTCGCTTCAGCTTCCTTCAACAGTCTGTTTTGTGCTGCTATAATCGAACACCTGAGACTGCGTAATTTGTAAAGGACAAAGATTTATTTATTTCGGTTGTAGAGGCTGGGGCCCACATCTGGAAAGGGCCTTCTTGCTGTGCCATCCCATTGGGGAAGGCAGAAGGGCAAGAGAGCATGAGGGAGAGAGAGAGAGAGAGAGAGAGAGAGAGAGAGAGAGAGAGAGAGAGAGAGGTGCTGAACTCATCCTTTTATTAGGAATTCATTCCCTCAATAATCACATTAATCTATTCACAAGGGCAGAACCCTTATGACTTAATCATCTCTTAAAGGTCCCACCTCTCAACACTGTTGCATTGGGGATTAAGTTTCCAACACATGAATTTGAGGGACACATTCAAACCATAGCAGTCTATTTCAGGAAACAATTTTTTGAGTTATTCTTAGCTTAACAATTGTTTACTCAAATTAATTTTTTATTGTTTAGGAAAACAGTTTTTTGTTCTGAACAATTCCAATTGATTGATGAAAATGATTTGGTTTATATATCACAAATATGAATTTTATAAAAGGAAGCAATATATGTTCATTAAAGAAAAAAGACACAAAGCATTTTTGTTTTAAATTTATTAAGGAAGATTGTTCAAGCAAGTATAGTTCAAGACTTCTCTTATTGTCTTTTGCCACTTTAACACCTTCTAGTCTATCTGATGCAATATAATAAGCATGTAAAATAAATAGCCAGTTATCAACAATTCAGATCCCAGCTCTCTGTCACTACTGGCCAGGTGACTTTGAGCAGGTTACTCAGCTTTTTGAAGGCTCAATCTCCACACCTATAAATAGGATTTAAAATAGTATCTACCTCATAGGGTTGGATGTGACAATTAAGCCAGATCATTAAAATTAGTATTGTTAGAATATTTCAAAGATCACTTCAGTTTAATATAGAAATTATATTTACATCTAGAATAAACTTTTATCTTGATTATAGAAAAAAGTTCTTAATAGTGTTTACTGAATTTGACTCTCCCTTGAGGAGCATAAGACATTAAAATTCACAACTCCTTTTGAAAATTAGAATGCATTTTTTGTTTCTTTATGAGCACTAATAAAAATACAGGCTGTAGTCCCAACTATTCAGGAGGCTGAGGCAGAAGGATCTCTTGAGCCCAGAAGTTTGAGAAGGGAGAGTGGCCTTTTTAGGTTTTATTGCTTGTTTTTGGGCAAGTGGAATTTTAGTTTTTATGACCTGCTTTGGGGAAGAGGAATTCTGGTTTCTATGACTCCCTTTGGGAGAAGAAAGAAGGGTGGAAGACAGGAGGGCTGAAGAAAGTCAGAGAAATCTTGGTTCTGAGGCCTTCCAATCTCCTTCAGGTGGAAGTACTTACCTTGGCATACTTTGGAATATCATGTTCTGAGCCCCCAAACTGCTGCCTATAGATAGTCAATGAAAGAAAGCAAAAGTGGTGACACCACTTTATTTTGGTCTCCTTATCACCTGGAGTTCTGGTTTATTGTCTTGCTAATTTGCCCAGGAATCAAGCACACCTTGCTAGGATTCATTTTTTTGGGGGACACCACCATCTAATCTTAAAGGAAGAAAGGATATTCCTTTTGAAATGAAAACTTTGACCCTACCTCTTGTAAAAACATGACCTTAATAACCTTAATAACATGACCTGCTGGTTGTAAACAGCTCTCTTTGCCATTCTGGAGAGTCAGAGCCAGCTCTAGGAGCACAGAGACTGCCTTATCCCTTGCAGATAGAACAGGAGTGAGCACGAAGTGCAGCTCAAAGATATTGATTGAAATAATGAATTTGTTTATCTTTCAAAGTTTTCCTCCTGCCCTCTATCCATTAGAAGAAGGAACTTTTTCATTCATCCTGTGATACATATGTACACACGTACATACTGTTTGGATCTTTCTTTGCATGGGTAGAAAGTCAGAGGTTTTTAGGCCCAGACTGTTTTTGGTTCTAGGAGATCACTGGTGAGCTGCAGAACACTATGTCATTTGCTTTATGGCTGAAGGTGAGTATGCTCAAAGGAGCAATTGGGGAGAGGAAATCTTGGGGTGAGATAGACAATCTAAATATGTTATCCATTTTAAGGGGCTTAGCAGAGAGGCTGAGTCAGGGTATAGAACCATTGGGGTGCACCGAGTTGGAGATGAAATAAGAAAGAATGTTCCAAGTATAATGTGGAAGAGTCAGATGTGGAAGAGTGGAAGAGTTTGGAGTGATTCTCAGATCCCAGGCAGGGGCAGCCATGACTTTTATAGGATACTTGGGGCCTCAGTGTGGATTAGGAGAGAGTATAAGATAGCAACCTGGTCTGGTGTGAGATATCACATATATATATATATATATATATATATGTATATATATGTATATTGCATATATGTATATTATACACACACACATATATATGATATACATGTAAAAGGAGAGTGGACTTCATCAAAATCTTACCAGTCCACAAGATAAAGAAGCTTTAATTATTTCTTAAGGTTTGAATCAATTTGGAAAGTGAGTTGTGCCAATTAACAAAAAAGCCAAATACAATGCAATATAGGTCAGGATCCAGTGGAGAAAAGCCTAGTCCTTGCTAGGTATTCCAATAGCAATAATTTAATATAGGGCACTAGTTACAAAGGGACTGGAAAAGCTGAGAAGTCAAATAGGGCTTCTTAAAGATTAGCAGTTTAAAGATTAGTAGCAGCAGGAAGCCACTGCCACCCACAGGACTGAAGGGACAAAGTAAGGAGAGATGGGATTTAGCAGAGTTGGGGAGTCAGAACCACTTGGTGCTGGATCTGTCAGATGGCAGCTTGGTGGGAGCTGGGACCAAGGGAGAGGGCCGTTGGCAGTAGCTGGGATCATGCAGGACATCAAGCCCATACTGGAGATACTGCAGTAGTAGGGAAAGAGTAGGGAAGTAGTAGGGAAAGAGAATTCCCTGCCTCCTCCTTTCCTCTCATTCTCCACTTTCCTGCTAGTACTGTCAATGACTATACCTAGCTGGAAGGCAATTGACAAGGGAATTTGGAAATATCATTTACAGGTAAGGGTGCAAAATAAATCTGCGGACAAACAGATAATTGACTTGTACAATGGATTAAATAAAAATAATTAATAACAGATGCTAAGGTAGACATTAGTTGGTGTTGGGTTTAATGTGTATGGAGTAAAGGTATGAACTTCAAATTCCCTTGGCCTTTCCCTTGGGCACCTGACATGGCAGGTGCAGCCCCTGCCCTTATGTCTGTGTCCAACACAGGAAGAAGAAGGAAGGGCTGTGCCACTGATTTATGTCTCCATTACCAGAAAAACTAATTTTTATTTTCCAGAACATGCCCATTTCACTGCCATTTATCTCAGGGGCCTGGATGTCAGGGTGGAGAAATTGGGAAAAGAATGGTCATAATTGGCTTAGCTCAGTTATGGTTCCTCCTCTGAAGTTCGCACAATGTCGTCATAAACCCAACAGAGTTTTTACTTGGTGGCAAGTGAAAGTGGAGAGTGGAAAGTGAGTAGACAGCTAAACTGTCTGCCAAAGAATTAACCCTTTGCACTCGGATGTCGAGTGTGACTTGACATGGTTAGCAAAAATTAGAGAGATTAAAATTACTCTTTGAATGTATCAATAATTTGAAATATAAAAAAATTCCAAATAAATAAGTTTGTATGAAAAGAAACTCCAGTTTTTTATTCTACTGCCGCACTTTGTAAAATCTGCGGTATTTAAAAAATTAAATCCCAAGTAGAATAAAGGAATTGAGAAAAAAGCAAGCGAGTGCAAAGAATTAAATGTCTTCTGGACTCCCACTCATTGCTGACTTGCTTTTGACTTTTGGGTTTCACAGCAGCTTGTAATCCTGGGGCTCACTGAATTTCAACTGTCTGCCCCTCTCTGTTAGATATTTCAGATTTGGCTCATAACTTAGTTCGAATCACTAGCACTCACCCTTAACATTCTAACCTTCCCTCCTTGGTCTGCCATCTCCTAGCTCTGAGTATGTTAGGACAGACAGACAACACATATTTATTCCGTATCTACTGTGTACCAGGCATTGTTCTAGGAAGATGAGATACATCAGTGAACACAACTGCCAAAGATCCTTCACCCTTGTAGAGCTTACATTCTGGAGAGGGGAGACACACAATAAAAAGTAAACATAGCCTGTTAGAAGAAGGCTAAGTATTATGAAAAAAGCAAACAGACCAAAGTGAAGGGGATTGGAGGTTTTAGGGAGAGGCTGTTTGCAATTTTAAATAGGATGTTCAGGGTAGGGCTTCATCTGAGTACTACCTGCATGGTTCTATTTCTTCTAGAAAAAGTCGGGCTGGCTTTTATCATAGTTAGGAAGCCTCACACTTCCCCTAGATCTAGGTAAAAGCCATGAGAGTCTTTTTTGATTCAAAGTTTCTCTATCTTTCAAAGAGTAATCATTCTTTAGTTTTTGAAGTCAGAATTTGTGTACTTATTTTGTTTCAGATTGCTGAAGAGAGCATATTAAGAGTAAAATCCTTTAGGATTTTAAAAAATAAATCTGATTACACCAGCAACTTTAGAGCTTGATTAATTTCCATCAACATATCCCTTATCTAGACATATCTGAATTAGTTTTTAAAATAGATATGCTAGTGTGAAATAGAAATATACCTGAAGAATTTCCAGTCACTGACTTCACACTAATCTTATGCTTCACCATGTAATTCTTCTGATTTAAAATTTTAATATTTTGAGTATGGTTTTTTCTTTTTTTTCCCCAGGAAGGTGGTAGTATATAAAGACAACTGCTCGGTGACAAAGACTAAGTGTTGCTGACCTTTTACCTGGATATTCATCCCTTGCCTCCTATATTCTACCAGCTTTCATCAACTCCAGGTGGACCAGCCCTCACCTTATATCCTATTCTTATCCTGACCAGTTGCCACAGTGAGTCCAGAGCTAGGTTCCTCTACCTGCTCTGTCCTGAATGAGTAACCAGCTAAACCTGCTAAATTTTAAGCAGAATATCCAGGAGTTGGGGATAATCATACTTCTCTGAGAAGATCAGGGGCAATTCTCACTTAAATCCAAAGCCATAGTGTCACCCCAATTCACTTTGTCCTCTATTTACAGAATGCCTCCTCATTACTAAAAATACTGTCTCTCTTTCCTAGGACTTCTTACTAGAAACAGTCTTCCTTCTATGACTCTAGTAGTAATTTAGGGATGCTTGTATGTTTTGACATAATCTGAAATTTGTGTTTTAGAGATAAAAATGAAGGTAATTCAGTTATGCTCTATTATTCTGGTGCTCAATAATTTTTAAAAATTGGACTGCTCTTCAAGTCTTCAATCATCTCTACACTGATGATAAAAAAAGGCATTGCTATGTCCATAGGTCATAGAGAAAACAGCTGAGGAATTCACCAGCAAGCTTGTGGGTGTTGCTTTTTACAGTATTTAATTGTGAAATATGGTGAGTCATTGCCAGATTATTGCTAAAAGACTGCAATACTCTCAAGAATTTTTATGTAACATTTCAAATGGGGTAGGAAAAAAAGACTTCTGAAGGGAGAGAAAGACATGTAAATCAAGAGTATCCACATGTGGTAGTATGTAGGGGAATTCTGGTATATCTTTAATCCCTCTTGGAATGTATTGAATTTACAGAATGTGGAACATTTTTTGTTGGAGCCTGTGTATTCTTAACATACCACCACCACCTAGCAGAGACCAGAGTTTGTTCCAGTATTTACTATGGGGCCATAACACTATCATTGTGATGATCCATCATATGGAATTATAGGCAGAGAAGAGCTATTAGCCAGCCATGGCAAAGGTTCGACACTTGAACAAAGATTTATTGACAGATTACTACCTGTCAAATACTTTGCAAGGTGCTGGGGATGGAGAGATGAATAAGCACAGTTTGTTCTTTCGAGAAATTTACAGTCCATTCCAGGGCAAGCATGACTCTTTCTTCTCTCCAAGCCTAGATGCTCAGTGAAAATGCTTTTCCACACTGCCCTCTAGGAAGCCATCACCAGGAGTGGGACAATGCTAATACTAATGTTGGCGTGCGATAATGCTAATACTATGTTACTACTGACAGGTGCTAACAGTGATCCGGGCTGACTCCATAGTCAGGGTGCAATGCCCTTTCCATGTATTACCTGATGTCATTCCCACAGCAGTTCCAGTGGGCAGGCACTGTTATTATTCACATTTTACAAACAACATTACTGAACTTACAGAGGATGCCTAACAAGCCCACACTGAGAAACCTAGTAAGCATCAAAGCTGGGGTTTGAACCCAGGCAGTGTCAAATCCTATGCTTGTAATACAATCAAATACTACCTCCTATATTCCATCTCTAATTAAGTCCTTCAGCTCTTTAAATTAAAGCTTTACTTTCTATTTTTTAAACTTATAATTCTCATCGATAATATTCTTAATCATGCACTTGAGCATTACTGAATAAATATTAAGTTCCAAGCCCTGGGCTAGACATAGGGAAACAGCCGTGAATAAAACAAAGAAGTTTCCCACCTCATGGACCTGACATTCTGAATCCAGTGTTCTGGTATTTTCCTCTAGAACCCTGTCCTGGAGAATTTATTTTGTGAATTTTACAAGAAGGTCTGGCACAGGGGACGCCGTCGTCAGAGACTAGTGCGCAAGTGGGACCATTGCCACTGCTACTACATCATTGTGTTGGGGGCCACGTGCCACAACCTAAAAGAGAAGCTGGCTTAGTTATCATGAATGTGGCTTCAAGCCAGTGGGATCAGGGAAGAATGGTGGATCAGGTTGTAGAAAATGCTGCATGTTAGAACTTCAAACTAAGGCCAAGAGGGAGTCATTAGAAGGACACACCTACCAGTTCTCGAGTCTGAAGGTAGGGGAATTAGTTGTCATAGGGGAATTGTTGTCATAGACTCAAACTGATTCTAAGATCTGTGGAGTTACTGTCACTGTGTGAGTCACCGTCAGCCTCAGTGAGACAGGAAGGAAGTTTCCTGGGCATGCAGGGGCACATAGAGAGAAGGCCATCAGATAAAATGGATTCAACCATGTGACAAAGGTTCTTAGGTAGGCAACCCAGGCTTATCAGGGAAGTCGTAATGCACTGTATTTCTGGAGCATGAGGTAAAAAATCCAGTTGATTTTTGTGTTTCAGGGGCCTGGGGGTAAGTGTATTTATAAACTTGCAAAAAATTAATCAAAAACGTTCTGTGCAATGACTATGCGCGTAAGTTCATTTGTTTCTGGATTCATATGTGCAAAAATATGAGGTATGAAATACGGCTATTTCAGATGACCAAAAATGAGCAGTGGGGCCTGAGAACCAGAAAAAGCAGCCTCTGCTGAGATGTGCTGACCAGATTCCTGACAATCTAACGGCGAATGGCAAAGCAGTGAATACAGCACACATCTGGCCCTGAGAGATGAGACTAGCGTCAGATTAGAGGTCGCATGCAAGTGAAAGGCCTGCCAATATTCTGTGCAGACAGAGGCCAAGGCCAGGCCATGTAAAGGATAGTGAAGGCGCCTTGTGAGGAAGGAGTCGAGAGGGGGCTGCTGCTTCCTGGACGGGCAGGCAAGGGACAGAACACTGGAAGGTGTATCATTCAAATCTAGGCCTGTTTATCAGTTCAGTTCCCTTCTATTAACTCTCCTTCAGAATCATTCCTTCTAATTTAGTCCTGGGAATGCCAAGGTAAGAACAGGATGAATGACTGATCAGATATTTAGTTAGGATTTCTTCGAAATCATACTCCTCCCCACCACCCTGCTATCCAAAGCGTGGACAAATGCCTTGCAGACTCAGATGCAAAGGCTATGAGGGTCCAGGAGAGAGGCAGCAAGGTCATTGTAACCTGGATTGTGTTCTAGTGTGGGGCGTATTAGATAGGCTGAGGTTGTGCAGAAATGAATGTCCTCTTAGGCAGACAGAGCATTTCCAAATAAATAATGAAGGCAGTGACAATTAGCTGCAGTGTGTAGTGCGATGGCAAAGATAATCTGAAGCAAAGAGACAGGTGATAATCCTGGACTCTGCACCTAGGGGGGCTGGACTGCCAAGAGGACATGCAGTGCCCAGTGGCTCAGGGCAACCAGGCATGGGGCAGGGTTATAGGGTGGTCAGAGAAAGAACTAAAGGTATCTGTGACAATGCAATAAAATATCAGCCAATAGGTGTTGGAGGGATCGAGCTACTAGCAATACGCTCTTCACCTCCATGTGCCTGTGCTATGTACCACGTACAGGGAGCCAGCGTTCTGGGGCTTTGAGTGTGAATCCTGCCAAGCCTATTCATCATCTATTCATCAAGTAGAACAGATGATCTCTGCTGCGGAGCAGCCTTGCCTAATGGAAACATCTGCAGCTGGTTACACACAAAAAATGCAAAGTGAGGTTTCCACCTTCAACTGTGGGGAACAGGGTAAGCATGGTTGAATCTGAAGAATGCAAATAATTGCTATTGTACCTATGAATCTAAAAATGCAGTTAATATTTTAGGGCTGTTCCCTTCCGTAGTACATGTTCATTGCTGCTGCTAAGTTCTGGTTAGTTCAAAAAATAAAGTAGAGCTGTACTGAGCCTCTACCATAAGCCAGACACCGTACTAGATTCCATCACCTATGTTCTCTCTCTTACTTCTCACAACTCTGTGAAGTAGGGGCAGTTTTCTTTATTTTGCAAATAGGAGACTGTGTCGCACAGAAGTGAAGTAGCTTGTTCAAGTTCACAAAGCGAGTAAGTGGGGCAGCCTTACTGCCCTGGGGCAGCCTGGATGTAAACTCCAGACTTCTGATGCCAAATCAGTGTATATTTAGGTATTGATGAATAAACATATTTAGGTGTTGGTAAAAAATTAAACAATCCTTGTGTGAAAAATAGATTTGTTAGGGGATATATGACTCAGATAAGGGACTGTTTGCAAATTCTACATATCAATTCTGGAACCACCTAGTTAATAGCTGTGGGCCAAGACTGCCTGGAAAACCAGAATGAGGAATGATTTCCATATATGTATGGGACAGATATGAGAAACCAATCCTGGCCTCTGGGAAGGAGGCCGTTGGCCTGGCAGAAAGAGGATTAAGAGGCTGGCTAAGAACTGGGCATGTTTGTGACTTATCCAGAGGAGAGGAAGACATGAAGATTCATATACACAGAGAGGCAGGTCTTGGGAGAAGTTCAGCAAGACCAAGTCAGGGCTACCGTGTGGAGGAACTTAACTTTCAGGCAGGCCACTGGGGTAAAAGACGGAGACCCAGGCAGAGCCAAAGCCCTTGGCTTGACTTATAAATGAAGTGACAATCTGGATTGGTTTGCCAGAACAGTCCCACTTTACAACTCTTAAGTGCCCAATTTAGACAATAAATATGGTGACCCTACTGGTAATGCCAGTCACCCTGTCTCCTACTTTCTGCTTGTCACATCTCCTGTCCCTCCCCCATGGCCCTCTGGGCTCAGCCATATTATGTTCAGATTCTTGGACCTGTCCTGCTCTGTAACCGTTGGGCTGTTGAACCCGCTGTCACTTCCTCCAGCGTCACTGCCCCACCCACACTCACAGACCTCTTCTTTGCTTGGTTCGCTTTTACTTATCCTTGGCATCTGGGTTTAGCTCTCACTTCCTCTAAGATGTCTTTCCTGTCCCTCCCTCCCTCTTGCTGCCCTCCTACATGCTTCCATTTTCCCACCCAGTATCTGTCACATTTCCCCAAAACTCCCTATTTATGGAATCCTGTCTCTTACCAGGCCACAGTCTCCATGAGGAATCAGGCCAGTGTTGTATTCACAGCTGTATCTCCAGTAAGGATCGGAGTGCTTGGTTCATAGTAGGGGTCTCATAAATGTTTTTGAATTAAGACTGAGGCCCAGTTTTTAGAATTGGGGGTCAAAGTCAAGGAAAGATTAGAGGCCACAGTGACTGGGGTCAGGACCCAGATGGTTGGGCAAGACTGGCTAAAATCTCTCCCCATGGGCCTGTTTCTTCTAGAGCAGGACAAGCCCTTTGCGTAGGGATAAGGGTGGGTCTCACTTGGAAGGCCACAGAGACTTGGATCTAGCAGGGCCTGGTTCCAGAAGGTAGAGACAGGGACACTCATCGATACCAGTTTGGCACCAAACTGGGGAGAGAAAACCTTAGAAGATGCTCTCCCCTGCATGCCATGGGGTCCAGCTTTACCCTGCTCTCCATATGCGGGGGGTGGTGGTGGTGTGAGATGGGGATGAAATATACTGCAAAGGAAGAAGACATGGGTACGGGAAAACTGGAACAGAAATTCCCTTTCTGGCCTCTAGATCCAGGTCTCAGTCTCAATCTCTTTCATTCCTTGCAATTTTTCTCATCCCAATCTCTGTCACACTTGCCTACCTAATTTATGCCTCCAAACCCTACCCCTAGTGTCAGCTTTCATCCTGGCTTTCCCTTTAGATGCTCCTGTTTAATTCATCCTGCTTTGCCTCCTCTAAGGGTTCACTCACAGGGCCTTGGCCTGTCTTCCTCTAGAGCTGGCTGTCAGATTCCCATCCTGCCACACCTTCGACTAGCTCTTCAGCAGAGACTTTACCAGCTTCCACCTGAGATTTTTATATCAGATTTCAACACGTTTCTTATTTCAACCAATATGCACCTTATAGTATCAATGACCATGTGGGAAGGTGAGGGTGGTCTCAACCTTGGTGAGATCTGGACCAGAGTGAGGAGCCCTGTTCTTCACTCACTACTCACTCATCAATAAATATTTATTGAGAACCTACTAGATGGCAACTTATTGCTCCACAGAGAAAATTACCTAGAATAAAAAGTAATGAGAAAGAAATCATATTTAAAAATTAGTGATCCATCACTATGTCAATTTAAATATGTTTTCTGCTATCTTCTCTAGCATCCAAAACGTTGAATACCTGCAAAGATGTCTCAGACTAGAGTGTAAAAACCTCAAGCTACATTGCATCATATGATTATTATTTCACTGAGCAGGAAGCTATTTGCTTATCATCTGATTCAGAGCTTCTTTCTCAGCTTCTCTCAACCCTGAGGGCTACAAACCTTCACTTTCTAACAACTTCAGCACAATTGGTACCCAGAGGTTTCTTTTTAGAAGCAGAAACCAACCATGAGTAAGAAACAGCTCACCAGTGGTGAGGCAATGGATGAATTACCTGGCTTTTGCTTTTGAAGTTTAATGAACTCTTATGAGGGAGACATAGAGGACACCAAATATTCATGACTCATCTCTCATAAAAAGGAGTATTTTGGAGGTTATTGAATTCCAGACCTAGATCTGGGATTACTGGAAGCTATTAAATGTGGCATTTTTATGTTGGTGTGGATGCAGGCTGGATTTAAATTACACCCTTCAGTGGGCTTCCGAAGCTGCCCTAGAGCTGGACTCACTACCCCTGAGAACATGAGATGCACATCTCCCAACCTCCTTAAGCGTGCATCAAAAGTCCATGTTCTTCAGCGACTACTGCTTAGTTATATATATGTTCTGGTACTCGCACGTGTTGAGCTGAGAGCCCTCCAGGTGACATGTTGATAGTGCATGGCCTTCCAGAGAAAATTTGGGCCTCATTCAAAAGACGAAGTGGCATTTCTGGTATTCTCTAGGCCATGGAGAGATCGTTAACAACAGGAGAATTTTCTGGATGAGCGGATGTTCAGAGCCCCAACCCCATCAAATCGCATCAGCAGCCTCCTGCTTCTCTGGGGCCTTGAGCTCCTGCAGGCCTGCCCTTGCTTGGGTGGCTCTCTGCCTTTTGTCCTGGGCTGACAGCATCAGTCAGTGACAGTGGTTCCCAAAGGCAGGGGTTTTATCTGATGGTTGGGAGCTAGAGGTCTGTGCCCTGCCCCCCCCCCCCCCCCCCCCGCCCATCCCCAAGGTGGTTCTGATTGCCTCCTAGTTTATAATTTCTACAGGGCTCTAGAGCGCAGAATTGCTCAGACTCCTGCAACGGACATGTGTCTTAGAGCTGTTTCTCCTTTCAACTTGGACAGAAGTCTCTCAGACAGATGATGTCAGTGCAATTGGAGAGGAGACTCGTTAAAAATCTATGTTCTCACTGGCTGAGAAAATTTTTCCCAGACACTCAGGAACCGATGGTGGGATTGTAGACCAGGGCAGTCATTCTGGAGAGCAATTTGGCAGTACACGGTGAAATGAAGTGTGCTCACGCCCTGTGACCCAGCCACTCCTCTCTAGAGCCTACACCCCGGAGAAACCCAGGCACAGGCCCATGAGGGGACGTGTGCAAGGATGTTCACTGCAGCACTGGGTGTGGGAATGATAATGATGGTGATGCTGATACTGAAGGCTGACACTTGCTGGATGCTTCTGTGCGCTAGTACTTCGCGTTTTCTCAGTGCTCCACAAAGTAGATGCTCTCACTGTCTCCATTTTAGAAATGAGAAAACTGACGTATGGGGAGGCTGAGTAAGTGGGCTCAGTTCACACAGCTGGTCAATAGGTTATGATGCCAGGCGATCTGGCCCCTGGCACTCCTGACCCTTACGCTTGGTGCTCACCTCTGTGTCTGTCCCTGCGGAATGAATGGGTGCATATGGAATAGCGTGCATCAAACACAGGGGCAGCTCCTAAAAGCACAGTATGGAGTGAAAAAAGGAGTAAGAAAAAGAATGGGTTCTTTAGTAGTTTTTACTACTATTTATACACACACACACACACACACACATTCTCTATGTATACATTCTCTCTCTCTCTCTATATATATATATAGAGAGAGAGAGAGAGAGAGAGAAAGAGAGAGAGAGAATGTATATAGAAACAAGGCGACATCATAAAGTTTCAAGTGTATTAGGACACACACATCCAAGGACATATTAGTAAGTGCCCATTGGGGGTGAGGTGAGGGCAGGTAGGAGCCAGGGGTGAAGAGGACATATATAAAACAAAATAAAACAAACAAAATAATAAAGCCCCTTGCTCCATCCATGACGTTTGAGTGCCATGAATTGAGGATATACTTAATTCTACTTTCCTCTGCTGAGGTTCGTATTTTCCCCGCCCCCAGTAATTCCTTTCATGAAGCTAGATTCAAAGCACCATCCCACCTTTAGGGAGAATCAGAGGATAGCACGTTTGTTCTCCTTCTCCTCTTCAGTGCTTCAGTTGGTGAGCAGCAGCAATATGTGTGCATTCTACCTGGTGTTTTCCTCTACCTTATAAGTTCATTTCCTTCCATTTCACAGATGAGAAGCAGTTCACAGAGGAAGCAACCCTGCACATTATCAGCAGATCTTGCACTTGACCCAGGTCCCAGCACGGAGCTTTAGCCCTGTGGTTTACAGCACACGACGGTAGTCCTGGCAGCCACTAGTGGTCCTGGCAGCCACTGGTTTCATCTGCAGATATAGACACTTGTTTCCCAGAAACGGAGGCATTTCACTGCTACCATCT